CCCCAAAACCCCAAAACCCCAAAACCCCAAAACCCCAAAACCCCAAAACCCCAAAACCCCAGTGATGTGTTTAATAATTGAAAATATTGCTCAATATCATGAAAAAGTAATTTATACTCAAAGTTACAACTATAGACACCAGATTTACAGTAACTCAGTAGACCGAGATAATATTAGGAAGATGATGAAGTACAACCTAGATGACTTATTTCAAGATCCACACATTTTTGAGTGGTAAGATGTCTAGTCCAGCCCAGGAAGTTAAATTTTAGCAAACACTTACAGAATTTCCTAATACGACTTCTAGGCCTCCATTAGTATATGAAGAACTCCAGAACGATGGCTGGAATTATCTCACAGAAGCAGTTGTTGGGTCTAGATATGAAGCTATTGGACCCTTCTTCAAGAACAGGAAAATCAAGTAAATACTGATCTAACCCAGTAGGTTTCAGAAACAACTATCTCTCTTAAAATAACCAAAGAAGAGAAGGACTTCTTCTGAACCAATATCATAGCAAGAAAAGGGTTGTGTTTGAAGAAGATGTGAAGAAGGCAATAGAAACTCCTTTAAAGTCTTCCGGAAGAAGGAACAAGAGCCGTAGGTTCAACCCTGCTTCTCTTGAAACAGCAAAGGTTAGACGGGAAAGAGTAAGTATCTAAATCTGCTCTTCTTTTATGAATTCTGATCATTAATTACGTATTAGTTCTCCATCACAGCTCTCAGGAAGGAATTTGCGAAGAAAGCAGAGATCACTAAAAAGTATCATAGTAGCAAAAAGTAAGGTTTTTAGTTTTTCTTGGATATTCTTTCCCTATTAGTATTTCAGGAATATCTTACTATATCACAAGCTGTAGCAAAGGATTTGCCTCTCCAAAGAAAGTTAGAAGTACAGAAAGAAAAGGTAGGCACACATGTAGCAACGTTTAGGCATCTCTCAAAGAATCAGCACACATGAGTATTATCCGAGTGTCGACAGAGAAAGTTCTGTTCAAAATAACAGTATGTGCATATTTTAAAAACTATCAGAAAAAGCCAGCCAGCTCAAAAGCTATTCATTTTCAGAGAAAAAGAAGCTCAATAATGATATAATAGATTATAATTTCAGTAAGATGTGTTTATCTGTGAAAGTTTTACCATTATAAATAGCCAATCAGATGAGATCAGCTTTGAAGAACTCTTTCGCTACCTCTCCAGATCAGAAATCCCTGAGGTCTTTTAAGAAAATCCATAAAACTCCAAAGTTCAAATTTCTGACGAATTCTGGAATAAAGGCACACAAGAAGGCTTTCATGAAGAGTTTGAAGAAGATAACATCAGAGAAATCACGTAGTTTTATGAATTTTGGGACTCTTCAACGCTCAGAGAAGTTGGGCAAGCCTAAACCAGACTCCATGACAGTTTATGGATGCTATTCGAAGCAGGTAAGGCATAAAGTGACTTTTAGAGCAAAGAAGGCACCTATACTCGAAATTCCCCGATGTTAGTGAAGGAGCCCTCAGGTACTACATTAGCAGACACTGTCTCTCCACTAACTGCACATAAAAGATTTACTAGGAACAACATTCGGTTCAAGAAAATGATAAAATAAGTTGCTTTACATTGAAAAATCTCAATTTAATATCTCAAACAAGGGGTTTTGGGGTTTTGGGGTTTTGGGGTTTTGGGG